AGTCTTATGGAAATTCCTTTGTAGGTAACTGACTCCTTTTGCTGTTTTTAAGATTCTCTTCTTATCTTTAACCTTGGGTAATATAATTATGATGTGCCTTGGTATGTGCTTCCTTGGGTCCAATTTCTTTGGGATTCTTGGAGCTTCCTGGACTTCCTGGAAATCTATTTCCTTTGTCAGGTTAGGGAAGTTCTCCATTATTTTTTCAAATAAGTTTTCAATGTCTTGTTCTTCCTCTTCTCCTTCTGGCACCCTTATGATTCGGATGTTGAAACGTTTAAAGTTGTCCTGGAGGTTCCTAAGACTCTCCTGATCGTGTTGAATTCTTGTTTCTTCATTCTGTTTTAGTTGAATGTTTATTTCTTCCTTCTGCTCCAAATCATTGATTTAAGTCCTGGCTTCCTTCCCTTCACTGTTGGTTCCCTGTATATTTTTCTTTATTTCACTTTATATAGCCTTCAGTTTTTCCTCTATTTTGCAACCATACTCAATCATTTCTGTGAGCATCCTGATTACCAGTGGTTTGAACTCTGCATCTGATAGGTTGGCTATCTCTTTGTCACTTAGTTGTTTTTCTGAAGTTTCCATCTGTTCTTTTATTTGGGCCATATTTCTTTGTCTCAGTGCACCTGTTACATTGTAAGGGGCTGAACCTTAGGTATTCTCCAGGGCAGGGCAACCCACATTGTTGTTGTGGCACTGTATGTCGGGGAGGAGTCTGAGAGGGAACAATGCCACTTGCTCGGCTCTCACCCCACTTTCAGTCACTTCCCCTGCTACCACAAGCAAATTGGGCCCTGCCGGTGCTGATTCCTGGGTGGGTGGGTTTGTGTACATTCTAGGACCCCATGGGCCCCACCAACAGACTCTCCTGTGAGACTAAAAGTTTCTTCCACTGCCGCAACTCCCATAGATTTTTATAACCAGAGATTTTGAGGCTTTAGTTTCCCATGCTGGAACCCTGGGTTGTGTGGTCAGTCTTGCTCCCTAGTTGTTCCTCCTGGTTTATCTGTATGCAAATGTGGGGCTGTCTGGTCCTCCAGCTGCTGCCATGCTGTGCATCCTCTCTGCCCTGGCCTGGCTGCTCATCTCCGTACCTCCTACCAGTCTGGATGAATATTTCTTCTTTAACTCCTTGGTTGTTGGACTTCCATACAGTTTGATTTTCTGGCATTTCTGGTTGTTCTTTGTTGTTCTTTGTTGTCCTTCTTTTGGTTGTGCAAGGAGGCAAAGTGTATCTACCTATGCCTCCATCTTGGCCAGAAGTCGAATTGATATTTCTTTGACCGTGACAATGTCAAAAATTGGACCACAAGATGTTTTGGCTTTATATAGGTTATAAGATCATGTCTCTGAAGCTAGATGTGACTTATGTGTAATAATTAAGAGCTAATTTCTAAACATGCATTATATTTAGTTGCTATTTTAATTGTTCACACAAAATCTTCCCCAAGAGTAATTTAAGGAGGCATAGCCCTGAAATAAAAACATGGGCTGCCTCATGAATATATTTTGGTTTAGTAGAAGATGTTCCAGAATCAGATGAACCTGGTTCAGCATATATCAAATGTCTAGGATGAGCCAGGCACTATGTCTGACACCTAGGGGAGTAACTGTGACAGATATATTGATCCAGCATGACCAACAGTGAAATTTTATTCTCATCTTCCTCTAACCTTTTAAAGGGCACCCAGTAGGGAAATGCATGGTGACACTTCTGAAGCCTCTGATGAAAACTGGGCCTCTCCTTCAGCTGATGGATGTCCCCTCAGCCCCTGGTTCCTGGAAGGGGCACTTCAGGCACGACTCCCAACACTCAGGCCCCTCTCCCAGGCAGCCCTGTGGTTAGGCCTCGCCACAGGTCTAGGATATCTGGCCTGTTGGGCAAGCTCACATATGCCTTCCCTGCTACAAGAGGAGTGACCTCCAAGTGCAGTTCTGTGCGCCCCTCCCTCACCTGTTCTAGACCACACTGAATTTCTCAAGCATGACTTAGGCACTGCACCAGGGTGTCCCCACTGCACCCTGACTTTGTGCTTTGTATTTGTGCATTGGGGAGGGGAAGGAATATGTCCTGATAACACAGAAAAGAAATATTTTTCTCCGAAGAAATCGCCTCACAAATCTTCTCTCCCTGCTTGGAGCCCTGTTTTGTACCCTTCATCTGGTGGAGGCGGCTACGAGTCATGGAACTGGATGTCAGAGATTCCCTTTCGAAAGTCTACCCAGTACTGTGGTATCTTGCTTTAGTAGACAGCAGCTATTGTAGACTAGAACTTCAGTTAAAACTTTAAATTTAATATCCCATTACACAAAAATAAAAAAAATACAGGACCGTGTTCTTGAGAAATTTAGAGCAGATGAAAGGAGATGCAAATGTGTAAACAGATCATTTCAATACGATGTGACAAGAGCAGTGACAGAGAAATGCGCAGGGGACGACGAGGACTGGGAGACAGCTCCTGACACAGACTGCCGCTGTGCTCCCTCGAAAATTACCTAGAGCAAGGCCGTCCCTGAAAGAACAAAGCATCCACGTGGCTTACAAAGTGACAAAGGGAGCGGAAAGCATGCGATAGCTTCTTGGGAACTTCGTGCTTTGGAACAAATGCTAGTGACTGTCTCCCAGTGACTCAAATGCCTAGAGGGATAACTAAATTATAAGTCTTGGTAATACAATATAACTGGTTAAAGTAAGTAGGAAAAGAATCCTTTTTTAAGGGTTTGAAAGGAGGCCCAGAAATCCTGGCAGCCACATGGGAAAGTGGTCATCCTCCCTGAACCTGCCGTGAGGTGTCGTCGAAACAGGGCTGTCCAGGGGCTGGGCCACTCAGACCTGTTGTCTCATTGCTGTGCTCTCAGCCCACGACGGCACCAGTGAGGTAGAGAGGACGTGTGGACAGACACAGACCTGGATGCTAGACGTGGAGGAGAGGAAGGGGCCCTTCTCATTCTCTGTATTCTGTCTCCTACCCAAGCCTTTCTTCTCCTTTGCAATAAATACTTTGTGCTCTCCCAACCCCCAATGCCAGCATGAAACATGGCATTATAAAATTGCAAGGGAAACACTGACAAAGACTGGTAGTGGACTTGCTCCTCTAATGCTGCTCAGGTAGAGAAGAAAGGAGCTGTGGCCAGTGAAGGCCTCGACCCCAGTTTATGCTGCTGAGCCCCAGAACCCTAGAGATGTCCCATCCGCCGGCTGAAGAGGTGCAACCACTGTACACACTGACAGAGCCATACCACGGCTGCATGCCTCAGAGTCCACAGGACCATTGTAATTTCAGTAATTTTACCAATTCTCCCACCAAGCCATTGAAATATCCCAGGAGTTCAAATAGTTAGAACCCAAAGTATTCTTGTCAGGCCTCTCACGCCTGGGAGTTACACACGTGGCCACTGTCAGGCCACGCTTCCCACGTTTGGAGATAGCACCCTATAACCAGAGGCCATTCCAGAGCAATGCAGCAGCGTTTCGTGTGGGAAATGCCGCTTCGGCCCTGCCCAGGGTTTCTCCTGACCGCTCCGATGGCAGCCCTCAGAAACCTCATCTGGGATACTGTGGCTGCTTTCACTGGGCAGCGGGAAAATGGCCCGGATGAAAAAGGACAACGTCCCCTGTCATTCTTGCCTCTTTCTTCCAGCCTCCTGTCTGTGCACCACAACCTCCCCGTCTTTCCTGGGTCTCTCAGCCCCAGTGGCCACTGGAACTATTGTATTTGACTGAAATGTGAAACACTGTTTCTGACTTGGTTTTGAGTAAAATACACCTAGAAAGGGGGAGGATGCTAAGAAACATTGTGTATACCAGACTAACAAAGTTTCTTACCCCAACTTCTTACATCTAAGCCAGGATTTGACTTGGCTGGTGCAGCTGGGAGGGCACCGGCTTTGGTTCCTTTTTTCATCTCTGCCTTGACAAGGAGAGGCGGAGCTGGTCGGTTTCCACAACAACAGAACACCAGGGAGACCCTGCTCCCAGGCCTAGTTAAGGATCTCAGTCTCTACCACAACCCGCCTCTCGGTGTCTCTGGAGGAGACCTTCCCCTCACTCCACCCTCCATCCCTTTGGCCTTGACATGAATCCCACTTTGTACCCCCACTCCCCCGGCTCCTGACGAGGTCCTTTGCCTGGTAGTAACAGGAACAGGAACTAACATTTTTAGTGCATTTGCCAGGCATATCTAACAGACATTAAACATACATCATGAAGAAAGGCACATCAGAGTGAAGAGGGCAGTTCTGTCCCCCGCCCTCAAATATTTCTGACCTTGGGCTCAGAAACAATGCCCTGAGCAGTAAAAAGATGATAGTGGTGCCCAGCAATGTCCCTGGCAGTGAGCATGTAATTCAAAGTAGAAAGAATACAAAACCATAAACAGAACAAAAAGGTAGACACAAGTCAAAATAGAAAACCTTTCTAGTTATCCTGATTGTAAATGTCATATTAAGTTCATTGACCCTTAACTTTGATCTCTATTGGTTGGGGGTGGGAATGACAGGTTGCAACCCCTGCTTTTTTAAGGCCATAGGGACATAGGATGGCCCAGTGCTGCCTGGGCTTCAGGTCACCCTGTGTTGGCCCAGGGAAGCTTTCCTTGGTTCATCTCTTAAAGTTCCTGAGAGCTTGGACCCATGGACAGCAAAGCTTTATCTGTGACTTGTTTCTCCAAGTTGTTTAATAAGCCCAAAACAAATTCTCTGGATGATTCTCCCCTACAGTGGAATTACACATCTCACTTTTAACTTTTTTTAAGTAATATTGTTTTTTAAAGCTGTGAGCAGTCATCTGATTTATAAAAAGATGTAACAAATATTAAAATGATAGAAAATATCATTTTCAAAGCAACATCAAAAAGTGAGTGTATCTAACCATGCTTAGCCCATAACAGAGCAAGTGGGTGAGTGCGGCAATGACAACTCACTCTGTAGCATGTTGAACCAACTGACAACGGAGAAAGTTAGTTGAAGGAAAGCAGAGGAACTTCATCCTTTAAGCATTAGAACCGAGGGGCTCCATAGTCATCTGGCATCCGCTCAGTGTTGTACCTGTGGTTAGAAATGTACATGACGGGAACTCTGGGGATCTTCCTGACTCTTCGTTTAAAGTCCCGGTCACCTGTGGCCACAATGTAACACTTGTGCTGAGTTTCTCTCTGTGCTAAGCAGTCATCTGCATAGGTTCCTTTGTGTGTGCATGGAAATCGTTCAAATCTTGGATCCTTGGTGATCCTTAGAGCCACTCGATATTTCTGCCCCAATTTCTCAGTTTCAGCCATTACACAGTTGGTTATACAAGGTATCCACTTGGCATAGAGACAGTCCATCATTGACTGCACTAAGTCCAGTTCAGCCTGCATGGAAAAGCTGGTATCAACCAGGATGTGGTAAGGTGGGCCCAGCAGTGTGCTATATTGGGAGAATAAGCAGGAAGAGTACTGGGGGACTTCTCTTTCCTTGAGTGCACTAGGATCTTTCTTTTCTTTCTTTTTAGGTTTTAATCTATCCTTTCCTTTAAGCCTCTGATCTCTCAGACCAGGCATTCGCTTCATGGTCACATATTTCCTTGTTTTCTTTTGCTTTCCCATGATCACACCGCACTCTTGTTTCTTCCAGAATTCTTAAATAATATTTTTTAAGATTTTATTTATTTATTTTTAGAGAGAGGGGAAGGGAGGGAGAAAGAGAGGGAAACATCAATGTGTGGTTGCCACTCTCACACCCCCTGCTGAGGACCTGGCCTGCAAACCAGGCACATGCCCTGACAGGGAACTGAACTGGTGGCCCTTTGGTTTGCAGGCCAGTGCTCAATCCGCTGAGCCACACCCGCCGAGGCATCACTTCTAGGTTTTTATAGCATCAGGCAGTAGTCCACTGGGCACCAAGCCTTCACGGTGGGGGCTGTATTCTCTCCGCAACACATCAGTGTCTGTGACACCTGCTGCGTTCTGCAGGTGTACTCTCTCTCCCCCGTTTCCTTTTCTCTTAGCACTTTGAAAATATAATTCCATCATTTTTCTGGCTTTCCGTGTTGCTTTGAAAAGTAAGCTATTAGTCTAATTGCCAGTCCTTTCTAGGTAATCTGTCTTTTCCTCTCACTGCTTTTAAGATTTTTGCTTTGTTCTTCTTCAGTTTCACTGCGAAGTGTCTTGTAGTTTTCTTTTTATTTACCCTACTTATGATTCATTGAGATACCTGAATCTGAAGACTGGGGATCTTTCATTAATACTAAAAAAATACCCAGTCTTTTTCTTTTCATTTGTTGCCTCACTCTCACTCTGTATTCTGTCTTTCTGGACTACTGATTAGATATAAATATTAACAGTTCCCATTTTGGTCTTTGTGTGTCTTATCCTCTTTAATATTTCAACTCTTTGGCTTAATTGATGCTTTCTTTCAGCTGTGTCCAATCTAGTACTTAATGTGTCTAGTACATTTTACATTTCAATTATTTATTTTTCATTCCTTAGATGTTCTGTTTGGTTCTTTTTCAGATCTTTATCTGGTCAGTTTTTTTAGTCTTTTATTCCTTACTTGAGCTTTCCATTCCCTTATTTGTTTACTTTAACACATTAAAAAGGCTTAATTTATAATCTGTATCTGATGGCTTCAGTATCTGAAAACTTTCATTTCAAATTTATTGCTTGTTTCTTCTGTTCATATTGCATTTTTCCCTGTGTACTTAGTTATTTTCTTTATTATGAACTTATATTTTGAGAAGTTATTTTTTAATTGGAATTTTTAAATTTTTATTAATTTATTTTTAGAGAGAGGGAAAGGGAAGGAGAGGAAACATCATTGTGTGGTTGCCTCTTGCACGCCCCCTACTGGGGGCCTGGCCCACAACCCAGGCATGTGCACTAGACTGGGAATCAAACCAACAGCCCTTGGGTTTGCAGGCCATGCTCAGTCCACTGTGCTACACCAGCCAGGGCTATTTGAGGGAGTTTTATCCGGTGAAATTCTTTGAGGCCTGGGTGGAGAGTGCATTTCCTCAGAAAGTATTTGAACTTTACCAACTAGGAACCCTTTAAATTTAATTCTTGGCTTGGGGTTGTTCAGGACTGGAGGTATTGTACATTCAGACCTCAAACCTCAGGGAGTGGTTTTCTCTTCACCCAGAAGTGAGACAAAATGAAGCTGCCCTTTCTTTCAGGGGCTAGGGGGCTCTAGCCTCTGTGAGTCTCCAACCAGATTCTCCGCCTTGTGTGGCCCCTTAGCTTTATCTCTGATCATCTGTATGTCTCTTAACACAGAAGCTTTTGTCACTGGAAGTCACAGAAAGCCCCTGTGTTCAGCACTCTCTTACCTGTCTCTAGTCACATTTTTGCTTAATTTTTGAGCCTCTGCCAATCTCCCTAACGTTCTTGCTAGCAAAATCAAGTGTTCAAAAACGTGTGTGTGGTTTTGTTTTCTTTATTCAGTATTTCAAGCATTGTTAGTAAGATTATTATTTCTTTTAAGGATATTTCTAGGCACTATTGCTAAAAATTTAAATGTTCGTTCCCTGCAGAGCTCCTTTTTTCTTAACTTAGAGGGATGCCTCTAAGAGAGTCGTTTGTGGAGAGAAATGACTGAAATGACCAAAGTTGAGCGAGAACTCAAGCACAGCTGTTATCGATTCATTCCTCCTCCAGGTTTCCTTCCTGACCCCCGGCCAACCGGGTCCTCTCCCATTCCCGGCGCTTCGGGGCATTTGTAATAATTCATAGTGTCAGCAAGATGTTACATGCCACAACTTCATAAAAGATGATTTTCCTTCAGGGAGAAAGATAAATGGGAGTTTCTCCATAAATGGCTGCTCAAAAGTTAAGAATGTGTTAGTTTCCCTTAGTGACACAATATGGATATTTAATTTATTCATTAATTTTACAAGTTTTAAATACTATCTATTAGACATTCTGAGGGAAGCATTCTCTAGGGTTTGTTGAACATTTATTCAACAAACATTTATTAAGTTCCTACCATGTTATGAAAACTGGAAAAACAGCACAAAGAGCATAGAGGCAAGAAGCAGCCCGACACCTGCAGGGGCCCAAAGTAGTTTCACATAGATGGAGCGTGGGGGGGGGGGCAGAAATTGGGCCAGAAATGGGATAGAGCAATTATAAATTTATGTAAACTCCTTATATTTGTGTTCAAACTCTTTAAACTTTTAGAATTAGTATGCATTCTTCAATTTTTTTGCTCAAGACTTTAGATTTAAATCTTGAGCTTTTACTAACACATGGCTTCATCAGAACAGAAATGTACAGAAATCTTCATCAGGACAACGGGCTTCCATGTTTTACAGCAGCTCCATAACCAGTCCCTAGGTACTGCCCGGCTCCGGGCCACAGTGGGTTAGGGTGGCCCACAGGGTCCAGGACAGGGTCCGGCGTCCAGGAGTTGGGGTCGGTGCAGAAGATCACAGCAGGGCCTTTTTGCATATGGTGGCAGGCTGGGGGTCCCTCTGAGGGAGAATGCGGGAACCATGAGTCTACAGGAGAAAGTTGAGACCAGGGCTCTGGAACTCAGGCGGGGCCAGAGGGAAAAGGCCAAGCAGCAGAGGGTGAAATCACAAGAAGGCCCCAGGTCCAAGCTCACTCCAGGGCAGAGCGGGTTGCAGATTCTAGAAAGGCCAGGGGAACCTCTCTGTGTCAGTTACAGATGGACAGGTCCACAGAGGAGTTCAACTCTAGGACGACTGTGGATCTTAGGCCAGGGGCTATCTCCCCTGTCTTGGGTTTCAGAACCCTTCTTGGTGTGGGGAGCCAAGGCATGTCACGTACATGGGATGGCCCCAGGGTCAGTGGATGAGGGCCCTGGAGGGACGGGCTGGCAGCCTGACTTGTTTCCAGCCTGACTTCCAGCCCTCTGTCCTCACAAGTTATACTTGGCCACACCTGCAGAACAGTGCCCGCTTCTCAAAGACGAGAATGTGGGTCCCAGCAGAGGAGCATGTGCCATGGAACTCCTGGTAGGACTTTGGAGGGCGGCAAACACGTCCCCATTGGTTTCGAGATGCAGTGGTCTGCTTTTCACCAGAGCGATTTGCCGGTGTTACTGAAGTGAAGAGAGTGAACGGCAGGGGCCTGGGAGCATACAGACAGACACTGCATCCCGTTTCAGAACACACAGGCATCAGGCTGCCTGAGACAGCTACGTGTGCTTTGGTCGGAAAAAGCTCTGAGGGTGACAGATGTACTTGTTTCCAGCTTTATTAATGAATAAACAAGGAACTGAACCCAGGGCTAGGCCTTCTGAGAGGAGGCAGCTTGAGCACATCTGTGAATGTCTTCAGTGACAGCGCCTGTCTTCCGTAGGCACGGAAAGGATGAAAAGTCAGTCGCTGTGGCTTTAGGGTGCTGCACAGGTAATCTAGATTATAGATCACTGGAGCTCCCTGGGCCATTCGTCTGCCGGAGGCCCAGATCACGGTGACTGATGGGGAGGAAGAGTTAGCGGAAGCGCACTCTCCCCAGAGGGGGCCTGCCTGTCTTTCCCCATCAGAGCTTCTAGTTCCAGCTCCTGCCTCCCAGCTCCCACCCCAGACCCCAGCGCCTGGCTCTCCTCCTCCCTCAGTGGAGCCCAGCCTCCGGAGAGTCACCTTCCTCCCCCCCTCCCTCGAATCCACTAATGAACGACAAAGGGAGCATGATCTAGAATGTAGCTTCAGGAAAAGTATCGGGGGCAAGTCGGAGCCGAGGCAGACTTCGAATGGGGCCCCCTTTTGATGGCCAAACAGGAGGTGGAAGGATATTCTAGGCAGAGAGCAAGAGGGGACAACACAGACCAATTTGACCAGAACACAGGGCCGCAGAAGCATTAGGTAGACAGCTTGCAATGTCTGGGAATGGTCTCAAATTCTAGGCTTAGTTTGAATTTTAATCTATACACAGCAAGAAGTCATTTAAATTTGGGATTAACTAGAAGGGGTAAAAATAAGGATAAACCTTTATAAGTCAAAATAATAGCTAATATGTACACTTTACAAAGCATAGTTTGTTTCTCTGGACCCTCACCACAGCCCTGTAGAGGCAGGAGTGTTTGATCTGGAAACAGGTACAGGGCCAATTGCACCTTCCTCAATCTTGCAGGCCCCTGCTCCCACTGGGGCTTCATTAGGAGGCTTCACAGAATGTCAGGTCGGCGGGTGGGGGTGGGGATAGCAGTGCCTTCTCTTTGTACCATCCATTCCAGAAATGACCAGGCTGTCGCTGAGCAGTGCTCCTGCTGGCCAGAGGAGGAGGGGGTGAAGGGTGAGGGGCAAGGTGCTGGGACAGGTGGAAGGGGGCGGGGAGACAGCAGCCCGAACAACAGCAGCCAGTCATGAAAAGGAAGTGCATATTAGCAGCCGAACCTCCCTCCGGGTGCTGTGAGCACCCCTGGAAATCTCTCCTAAGCTCCGGTTCGAGAGATTGACAATTAGGCTGTTTCAGTTCAGACCACACAGACAGCTTAGGGGATACCGGGCCCTTCCACCCGTACAGACGCTTCGTGGGAGGTTCCTAAGGGGTCTAAACGTGTGTTTGTTGTTAAATACAGTGCGATGTTATACGGCAGAAGGAATCTTCTGGAAATGCCTTTTCTCTTCAGTGAGAATACG